GGACAACGGTTATCCAAATCTGGATCGAGACATGATCCACCAACAGCGGCGGAGTCCGGGAGAGCGGCAATGGGTGCTGAATTCATGGAATTCGGTTGGCCACCGGTTGAACTGTCGGTGGTAGATGGATCAGGACTAGGTAGGCATTTTTCAGGTCGGTTCGACGGAACACAGGAAGAAAAGAAGATGAGATGAGATAACAACCAACTAACTGTGGATCGAGTTTGTGCACAATGAAAGAAGGGCAAGAAGGATGAAAAAGGACAAATTTGTGGAGTCTTCTAGGGGGGGATGCCTAAGAGGAAAAGTGATTGCAGCAAAATGAGGAACTCGTGAGAAAACATTGCCAAATGAAGACAGCGTTCTTGACAATAACCTGCATTGTGAGACGATACGCGAATACACAGAGAGCACGTACAAAGTACCAACTTACAAAGGCAAGTAGGAAGGGATGGTGGACGTGTGTTCGAGCAGCCGAGTTGAACGAAACCCTGAAAAAAACAGGTGAAGAAAAAGTGGACGCGAGCTGACTGAAAAAGTAATCTCTCAGAAATCCAAAGATTAAAGAGAGATTAGAACAGTTGGAAGATAGTGCTTATTTCTCCGAATAAAAACAACTAGCAGGAAGAACAAACTTCGTAGAGATGTTTGATTGTTATAACGAACCTAGTCCAACATTAGTGGAATCAACACTCAAGTGAAATAAATCTACAAAGCAGAAAGGCACGGCCAGCAGACCTAACTAAAATATACAGATAACGTTGATTCAGATTGCTTGTGGACCACACCTTTATCTGCCAGTTGGAAACACGAGGGATGGGGAGCGGCAATAGCATCCGAGGACGACTGAACATTTTACAATGCGTTTTAGGGTAAGGTAAGCATAGGAGGCATTATCACAGGCAAATATCATTTTTACTGTAGGAACTGAAAACCCAAGTCCGAGGACAGTAAACAGAGAAATTGAGGACGAATAAGAATAGGAGAGAGATAATAATTAATGCTGAAACTGTCTGTCGTCTGTATTCAAGATTATGTTTCACAGAAAGAGTAACAGCAATATAAACATATGGTTAAGCTTAATTCCAATTCTCATTTCAGTCAAGTAGAGAAAACTAAAGGACCAATATCCATTTAATGTCAGCATACTAACCTATCAACAGGATATAAGCTGTCATTGGACATAGGACGCACCATGCTATGCTAAATGAGGTCGACTATAACAGCAAGCGATAAAAATCACTAAAGTCAAGTCAAAGTTAGCTTTACGTAAACGGTGGGTGAATTTTCAGCAATTTTTTCAGAATAATACAGTGGAATTGAGGGGGCTGGCATCCGAGTGTGAATAGGTTAAATAAAAACGACAGCAAACTGCAAGTAGGAAGACGATAGCGACATGAAAATGAATAAACTAACTCGTGAAACGTTCAACTAAATCTGTAACAATTGGTGCCCGATTTACTAAAAAGCGAGCAAGAAAAGGGAGGATGCTGTTTCTGTATGTGACGGTGTGTGCAGGTAGGAGCCTATAATAAGAGCGGGTACGGAGGTTTGACATGGATTTAATAAGTTCGTTGTGCAAGCAGTGATCTTCGTTGTTCAAGATTTTGTCGGCTATCCTTCACGCCCAATACGTCAATATGTTTGCACACAATAAAATCAACCATAAATTCTCTAGCTATGCCACTACATCGGGATAGGAGTTGTATAGACCTGAAAATTAATACGAAATCTTTTTCTTTTAAGCCGGGAGAAAATATAGGGGAACAGTACAGCCAGTGAGGAAGGATGCATGCTACCACGAATTTGAAAATTACATTTGGGGGAACAGCAAGCTTCCTAAGCTTGAAAGCATAAAAAGAAAGTTTACGAACCTTGTTGTAAACGTTCTGTACATGTAAGGTCCAAGAGACATTGTGGGATAGAACGAATCCGAGGTATTTAACAGAGTCAGCTTAGGGAATGCTGTAACTGTTAATTACGAGGTCCGGTAAATCATTGAAGAAAGTTTGATAACGGAGGCCAGATTCAAGGCTGACACATCTAGAAACATTAACCATGAGTGTTCGGGGTAGAGACCGACTAAAAACGTCGTTCAGACTGCCTTGATGTTGGTGGAAAGAAGTATCAGTATTGAAGGGACACCTAATCACCACATCGTCCGCATACTTACAAGCAATAAAGTTGGTAGGGACAGGCAGGTAGTTAATGTACAGGGAAAAGAAGAAGGGAGACAAAATGGCTCCCTGGAAGACACCAGAAATAAACATAAGATGACGACGTTTTGCCATTGCATGAGGTGAAATGCGTCCTAAAAGAGAAGTAGTCTACAAGAATGTTTAACACGTCGAACCCTAAACTGCAATCAGCAAGACGTTGAATGAGAATGCGACGGTTAAGCGAACCAAAGGCGTTGGCATAGTCAAGAAAAATAAAGCAAACAGTTCCAGCACTCTTATCAAGAACTGAGGTTACAGAATGGAAAACATACGCCACAGCGTCAACAGTTGAAAGGGATTTCTTATAAGTAAATTGAAGAGGGTCAAAAACATCAGAGAGGGTAGTCAAACGGTTTAACAGCACTCTTTCAAAAACTTCAACGCCGATATCTCGCGACAGCTCCGGTTGCCCAGAATGGTCTCAACAGACATCCGACTCAAGCGTTGAATCTCTGTCTTGATGATCGAGTCGTTTAACATCGTAGCGCCTGCCATTTGTATATGTCTTCTCCTTATTACGTCGAAGGCGTTTTAGGAGAGGCGATCCAAATCTGTCAGTACGGATATATATTGTCTCGATCGGGCAACACAAATCAAAACAGAAATTAAGGTAGCTAGTAAGATGTTCACATCTGGAAGAATTAGTGGAATTGCAGAAGATAGAAAAATCGGTTGAGGTGATCATATCTTGGAGTCAAGTTATCACGGGTAAAATTCCTCCTTTATATTGTTCGGGATGCTACCTGTACTTGTTGACGATAAAACATTTTACCATAGATTTTTGGGTGTAAAAGTATTGTACAGTGGTTGGATGTGTTATTAGGGCTCGTTTTTCTATGAATTATCGTGTGTTCAAATCACACCATCACCGCCGCCTGACTTTCCCCATTATCTGTCTATCGTATGGCAGCCGACTGATTGACCGCTTCCACCTTCCTGAAAACTGTATCCTTGTATATTCAATAAAAGGAAAAGAAAAAAGATTAAGAAGGAAACAATAAGAATAGTTCACTATTGATAATCATTTGTTTCTTCAGTTCCTATACAGACCTACCTGGAACAGCACTGAAATTGTTCGGATCCAAGTGATAGTAAATGCGACAAAGAAGCTTCTCACACAAACATATCAATGCGTCGACGACGGCGTGGACGACTTGCATTTTCTGGCTGACCAAAATATGGAACAGGTTCTGAAAATCAAGGATTCGATTTAGGATGGGGACGACAGGAAACAATTAGACTTCTGAGGAATTGAATACGGAGTACGCACCATATATTAAGTAATGGGTTATAATTTGTTAGACTACGTCAAATATAAAAATGAGGGATATCGATAGTTTCTATGAAAGCTAAACCCTCTCGGTCAAACGGTTCTAATTCTAAACCTATGGAATTTGGTACCCCCGTGTTTCAATTATAGTGACTGTTTTTAGGCCACCTATCCTACCCCTACCAAGTTTTCATGTATTTGACCTCTTTTCTCTGGTCTTAAGAGATGCGTAGTGGCCTGCCACTGAATTTATGGTCACTGTCCGATGTCGTGTTTCATTTATCCGACAAAATTCGTCGGAAGAGAGAAATAAACTATGCAATTCACTATCTGCTGATATGAAAATATACCCAGATGAAGTTAAGGATATCTTCTACCAAAAGCTACATGACCTCTTGCATAAGGCAGGTGCATTTCGATGCTTCAAGGTCTAGACTCCAATAGCCCGAAAAACGAGCACGGCTGCTGGCTTCTTTCCTTTGACCGCCGCCTATTCCTCGCCAGTATGAACCTCAAACGCTCCAACTGGCAGTGGGCCACTTGGCATCTCCCTTCGAATACGTGACGGACCTGGGTTGAACACATCGTCATAAGCTTCAAGTGGCTGGGTTTTTCAATATTATTGCAGTACTCGAATCCGAGTAGGCAATAGTTTGCGCCAAACCGCTCGTGTGCAGTAATGGGTTTCCGAACGCATAAGACAGTGACGATTAGAATGTGATAAGCTGCCCAATCAGCTTGCCTAACCGCCTCTCAAATTTCCCAATGTATTTTTAAATCAACTGACAACGATGCTTCTAACCATAAAAGCTAAATGGCGGTGGTATTGCTCGAAACTTGTACCTTAGATCACAAAGCACCTCAGTGATAGTAGTCCGAACCGATTCATGACCATAAATGTGCGGAAAACAAATTGTCAGTGAGATTAATTGTCTCACCGATGATACGGAGACAATTCCAAAACCAATAAAATATACCAGTCCAAAGAGAGGATAACAACCACATAGCAACGATGATTGGCGGTAAGCTAATGGAACAAGTCTTCTTTATTTTTTTCAAACAGGAATTCGCTACTTACCTCAACAAAAGCAGTGCGTTGAAGGAATATTTCGGCTGGAAAATCCTGTAAGATAACCTCCTCGAAAAAGTGGACACCAGCTAAAGTGACTTCAATATCCGAAGATTTGAGAGAACTAATTGGTGCAACGATCGGTCAGAAACGATGAAGGGATAAACAACTTACTTTAGAGAGGCACGAAGAACATCCGTGTCCGTCTTGGTCAACGTTAACAAGGGAAACGTGAGAACATACTTCTCTGAAATTCGCATCGGACAACAGAGACACAAACATGAACGTTAGTCAAATCTTGAACACACTGAACAGGAAAACATCTCACCATAGATCACTGAAAAATATATGCAGAACTAGGGTTTACATTCACATTTGTAGATTTTTACGCTCAAAAACAGTTAGCCAGAATAAAGTGATAAAAAGTTCCCAAGGACAGCATCTCACATAAAAGAACAGTGAGTGTATAGGATTACAAATATAGACAATCAGACAATTTTTAATATATACAAGAGCGACCACAGCACAAGGTGCAAAGTCCATAACCTAAGTACTCAGTATCTGGAACGGTGAAAGAAACCGAAGCCGAAAATTAGCTTCTTGATTCTGTTTTCAAAGGAAAGAATACGAAAATAGTGAGTGTTCCATAGTTACAAATTTCTTTTGGAAAAGACGATTGCTAGTTACAAGTGTCCCACTTGAGGACAGTGACTTAAAATAGCCATTGGTATACGGAACCTACGAAGGAAAACAAGTGAACGGAAGACGGGAGAGGCAAGTTCGACAAAACAGAAACTAAATTAGCTGAGGTAGGACAATGATAAGGAAGCGATTGCCTGAGTTAGCTGTTGCAAATTAGACGTTTGGAGCGGGTCACTGATGAAATCAATGGCCCTACGTTGAACTCGATCGAGAAGAGATACAATAGGAGTACATGAGGATGCATCTCACGTAAAGCTGAGGTATTCATAATCAAAGAGAATCTGAGCTTTACATAGTCATTTTATTCCAGGTGGCAAGTTGCAGCAATTAGACTGATCCCGAGGTCCGCAACCGGGAAGTTTGATGTGACACCTATATCCTAGTATGGGTTTTCATACACTCATATTAAGTCTTATTTCGACCATTTTGAGATTTTTCAACCATCATCTACATCGGAAAAAATTGGCGGAGTAGGAAACCAGGAAGAAATGCTGAGATGTTCATCAAGCTTATTTCTTATTGGTTCTCACAAGACGAGTTATCTCCTTTAATATAAATCAGCATGATAATGGATTCACATCATTCTTTCGAAACTTGTTCGCTTTCCCATAATAAACCCCCTTAGGACCATAAGATCTGTACCTTTTGAGGGAAGTTAACAAAAGCAAACAGCAAAACTGTGCCTTGAAATGTTCTGGCCTTCGCTACAAGCGGTGTTGATCAATGCAAACTAGTGTACCTCAAGCACATTAATTACTTTAAACAATTTATGTGCACCCGTATTCACAAATAGAAGGAAGCGATTTCAGACTGTTACGAATGACCGCGATCTTCATCTGTCCACATTTTCTTATCACTTCTATCGGTGATTCCTTAGGCTGATGATGACCTCTACCTTTTAGAAGATTGACACCTGACGTTATGCTGGGCGTCCGAAGGAATGGTTCTTTACATGTCTAACAGCAGTTATTCGAATAAATCCATCGGTTGTTTGGTTGTATGAATACAACATTGATGTGACAGAACACTGAATAGCATTTAACGCTCACTGCTTTCTTCGGAGAGTAGTTTTACTGAGAGGAGACCAGAGAGCTTCGCTTCGAAGGTCGATTTGCAACTGACGCTTGCATTATTCCGTGGACATGCATCTGTGACGGTTTTGTCGCAATCGCTTATCAAGTGCATGCAGAATCTACCTCGAAACAGTAATATCCGCACTCACTGGTGAGGACCAGTGAGGGCGCCAGGCTTGAATTGATCCCTGCAACGGTAGTCAACAGCAACATGTTCAACTTGAATTCATCGCTGTGAAGAGGTAGGCGGTTTCCATGTAAGGTGATACCGTTTTTCGCGCTAGAAGTTGGTCATTGATGGAAACAACCTGTGATCTGTGCACAGTTGAAGTAGCCCATCTTCATTGTCCGTTCGAATAGATAGGATTGCATGTGGTCCGCATCTTTCTGATTTCTCCAGGGATTCCACTTGAGACTACTACAATATCCATCAGAGAGCACTTAGCAGCAATCGAGGTCATTGTAGAAGTTTTTTATTTCAGGTTCACTACAATCGGTTGACGTAGACGCTAACACAATGAATAAGCACCAGCGTTGCATCCAATTGCAGTTAATATGAAATGGAAAATCAAACCGTGAAACGCATGGTCGACCGATGATTGAGAACCAGTCAATAAAAGAGCGTTAAGTCTCGACATCGTTGCATCCCGACAGCGGTAACAACGCGAGCGTCAGATGTAAATTGCTTGGTATACGAAGAGTGAAGTCCAGGGATGAAGTTGAGTCACAAGAACGCGTGGTGATAATTGAAGTAGAGTCTTGTCTGCGTGTTTCGGAGACACAACATACGTCTAAACTGAATGTTTCAAGGGTTCTACTTAAGGTCAACCTGATAGTGTGCGAAAATTAATTAGAGTCAAGTGAAAAGGGGATTTTGGTTTCAACAACCTAATAGAGATTGGTTGGTTGATCTTAGTAGCTGAACGCTAACTGTTATCCCATGGGTGGCGCAAACGGGAGGCACCTCGAGAAATTGGAAGCTAACGAACTAGACAGCAAGGGGATGGTACCCAAATGGATACCTATGACTTTAGGGCACAATATAATTCGCGGCATCCTACAACGACGGAGTTTTTCCTTGAAAACCATTACCAGAGAATCTGACTCAAAAGTATGACCCACAAAGCGATGGGGTCGCGATACAACGCGGAGTGCGACAGAAGCACCTGAGTCGGACCTCCTAGAAACCTCTTACGCAAGATACTCAGTTTAGCTCTTGCAACCATTAACCATGCACTTGCCTGCGCCGGTTTTGGTTGCCTATTTGAAACAACAGCAGAGTGAAGATTAGAATATTGAAAGCAAATTCAAGCGGAAGATAGCAAATTCATATAGGCTGATGTTAGAAGAATAATGAGTAGATGCATGAGCGCCACTGTTTGCGACACCCAGCCACATCGCTCAGTGTCTCTAACCGTGACCATGATCCCGGGGGCCTAGCGAAACCTGTGACACAGTCTCCTGGTTAGGGTTTTCATACCCTCATGCCATGTTTTAATTTGACCGCCCTTCGTCTTTTTCCAACCGCTACCTGCCTCGGCAAATATCGCCCGCCATGACAACCTATTTGGCGACATGCGTAACACAGGTCCCAACCGGCGTATTCTATGAAGGTCGGCTACTCGCTCCAGTGGACGACCGCGATTATCTAAAACTCTATGCCTAACCTCCGTCCGGTTACCCCACCAGACTCGTGCAATGTGACAGCGGTGTTCGAACCCTGACAATCTATTTTTATCCAAGTCTCGGTACCGTAAAGCACCATTGGCCGAACTGCTGCAGCATACACTCGACCGTTCACAGACAGCCGGAGGTCGCGACGGAGCCAAAGATGCCTCAAATTGGTAAATGCCAACCGAGCCTTTTGTATGCGCGCCGATACTTCATCTGTGATGCGTCCGCCAGGTGAGATATAGCTGCCCAGATAGCAAAATTTGTCTACTTCCTTTACTACCTCCGCAGTCAGGGTGAGGGCGGTGGTGGCCCGGTGGCAACGTCACCAAATTATTACCCCGTGGATGTGAGTTCGAATCCCACCACCATTGCCTAATTTCCCCCATTGCGCGTTGAATGGCAGCCCTTTGATTGACCGCTTCCCCCTTCCTGAAAATTGTATCTGTGTATATTATTGATTGATTTGACTGACTATCCTTCGGACTTCACTTCTTTGTATATTCAATAAAAGGAAGTGAAAATGAAAAAGGCTGGGGGCTGGACCAGCCCAATCTTGTAGCAATATTTTACACTTTGAAGGTGCAAAACGCATACCGAACATGGCTACACTAGCACTCAAACTATCCAGAAATGCTTGCAACTTACCTGGATCTTCACTTAGTAGCACAATGTCCTCTGCATACTCTAGTTTAGACAGTCTGTCACTCGGGAGTAGATCGATACCGCTATCCTCGAACGAGGATAGGGTTGTTTCGAGAATCCATGACAACGTTGAATAGGAACGGAGAGAGAGAGTGTGTGAAGAGTGAAGATGTCGATACAACCTGGATCAGGTTCCAAACCAGCCTGATTCTCACGCATGTACTCGACACGTGCGGCAGATATTTGACGGAGTATGATCCCAGTTTAGAAACAATTTTGGTGAAACTAATTCATTAGTGGTTTTCACAAGAGAACCTGTCACCTTTTTTTAAATCCGCATTATGACCGATTCACACCATTCAGTTGGTATTTGTTCCGTCTTCCATGTTGAGCCCGAGAGTTTCGTCAACTCCGAGACCAACGCCGAACCTCTAACCTTAAAAAACCGTCCGGGCCGAAAGCCTGGTACATTTTGAGATAATTTAATTTTCTGATAACCATGTCGCCAAATTGTTGTTTTTCCCGCGTATATCCGTTGCCTACTTTTAGGTCGCACAGCACTATTTCATAGAAGAACACCACAAGTGCAAGGAACACAAGATATAGCACAGTAACAATAGTAGCACCCGGGAAACGAGAACAGCGGACTGACAATAAGTCCGTGAGCGGATGATAGTTCTAGGAACGGAAGCTACCTGGGCGAAACACAGGACGCACGGTCGGTTATCAATCTCTAAGGCCTCCCAAAAACACGAGAGAGAGAGAAGACACAGGATTTTAATGGTGTTGAGCACAAATCACAAGTCACGGGTCATGCGTCGTGCGTCAATTTACAAGTTTTACTCTGCTGCTTATATGTGACTGAAAATAACATTGATTAATGCAAGAAAAAGGAATGTACCAATGAAATGCAGTGAGTAATGTTCAACCGGCCATAGGCTACGGACGGAGAGAGTGAATATTGCCGCACGATGCAATATTACTGATTTATCTCCGTGAGATTAGTATTGATCCGCGATGACCCTAATTTGGGTCACAGTATTAGCAAGTATGCAGCCGGGTTTGTCTTGGGACGAATGGCATTGATCTTCGTCCCAACACTTCATTTTAGATGAAGGACTGGTATTAACTGAGCACTTAGCCATCACGACGAGACTGCACTTTGACGT